TTAGGATAGGCACACAGACTCAGAACTGCCTCGTGCTCAGCCGAAACCGCTCCTGCCAAGAGGGCAGTATGGACTTGCAGGATATCATACATAGTGACTCTCTGCGCCACAAGGAACTGGCCCATCTGCCCGAAGATCGTGGTTCGTTGCTGAGCATCCAGACGGTGGGAACTTAGCGAGGTGAGCTGACGCTCTAAAGCTAAAGTAACCCATTCTAAAAAATTGATGGGTCTAAGTTCCGCCCATGAAACCCTATGCACTAGTAGGCTCTGGTGCCGGTCAAATGACCACACAACATGGCCTTCCCAATCCGTACTACCCACTTTCACAAAAGTATGGGTACCGGGATCAGGACGGGGAACCCATGGAGAAGACTGTGGTACTGCGTGAGTGTCCCACTCAGGGGAACCATTGACAGTTCGTGCAGCCCCAATGGGGAATTGATTGACCCAATGGAAGGCATTGGGCATGATCACTTCGAAACCAGGTTCAAGCTGTTTGTCCATTTTACCAATCGCCCCTCCATCGCCTTCTGAGCTCCCTCCATAGCCTGGGTCACATGAGGTGCCCAGGGGAGTTGGCTGGTGGACGTGGTCTCCATGCCGGCAGTGGAAGAGAGCGCCAATGAAAACGAGTCCAAAGGCAACTCCCCCATCCGGGGGTGGGTGGGATTACCACCGACCCATGCAAAACAAGAGTCTCACGGGCATCACTGCACAGTTCACAAGCTATGACCTTAACTGCATATAGTAAGGGACAGCTAGGCTAGCCCCCCTCCTGTCGGGAAAGTGGTCGTTGTCCTCCATATGAGGGTTGTGTACCACCCTGTACAGGGGTACCAACACTGGTAATATCTCAGCCCCCCCCCCATCTGACTTACCCCCCAGGTCCTCCTGATTTCTACCCTGGAACTGCAGAAGGGAGTTGACTTTTGAAGCCAGACTACGCATCCAGATTGTCCAAGCCATCTCTTCACCCTGGGAAAGTAGTTTTTCACCTTGACTAGTACCGATACAGGGAGGCAACTGGGCCTGTCCCTGTGATCGCGCAATGCATCACCGTCTGTAATGGTAAAGTACTGGTGGATTGAACTGGCTTGGTCTCTAAAAGATGTGCCGATTCCGTCGCGGGACTTAGTGCTGATGTCGGCACCCCAGAGAGAACATGCCGTTTATCAATGTCAGTCGCCGTGGTGACCAGGAACTCCGATCTTCCCGCAAAAGCGGTTGACCGATTGACCACTCTGAACGTTACAAGTGACTACCAAGCGTAGGGAAATATTTCTCACTCATAGAATCGACACACTAGTGGCGGCAGTATGGGATTTCCCCTTCTTTTCGCGACCTCTACCAGCCCTAGATCACTTGCCTTCAGCCTTCGTACCTGAGCCACATTTTATGGTCCCATAAATCACAAATCCCCTCAAGGCATTCCCTGTCCCTGACACAATTAAAGCAGGCATGACAACACATATGGGGGCAGAAGCGAATAGCAGGAAGAGCATGTCCTATGTTCCGTCTGAAGCGGGACATTCTTCGTCTTTTTTTGAGACTTGGGCATATTAGAGTCTGCAAAATTACGAAAGTGAGATAGAAAAAGGAACGAGTAAAATCACCACGCCAAAATTCGGAATCCGGTGAAAGTAAACTGAGCCGACAATACAACTAAAAAACAGGCAAAAACGTAACCCCTAATAATGGAAAGCCTTTACCGTAATGAGTCGATCAGCACACTAGATACTGTGTACTCTAGATAATTCTCAGTCAGAAAACTGTAACATGTCTTTCGTCGTGCTTGTAACATGGAGCGTAAAAATATAGCTGCCATTGGTAAGCCGAAACGAAAGGGAATATCGGGCGCGCAGGGTGGTCTCTTAGAAGAGTTTTTTTTCTGCTCCAGGTGATCGTTAGACAATATTTTTTTTTGAAAAATCAAGCATCAAAATTAAAATGGCCTGGTAAAATTATTTCGTTGTCTAGCAGACTGAATGGGAAGACTGAACACACTCGGCAAGATTAATTCGATAACGAACTTAAATTGTATGTCAGCACTCGCACTTGCAAATTAAAAATGGCTGGAGAGTCAAAAGAGCACACAACGTTCGGAACTATCGTCTGACAAAAATGTGTTCAGAAAACATTCTAGTAGTCCGCAAGAATTTAAAGAATAACGAAAAGCCTAGAACGCCTTCCAGCAGTCGAATTTTGAGATTAAGTGGTCTGGCTTGAAGAGCAAATTTATCCATAACTTCAACGTAATCTGTAGCAGTAAGCCATGGTAACAAGATTTGGGTTTTGAACTGTTATTCACCTTGCCATGTGTATTTCACTCAAATATGAACAAATCAAGGATTTTCCGATAATTTATATCATGCAATTAACCGATTTACATAAAAGTGTTAACCAACAAACATTAACTTTGTAGTAACATATGCAATTAAGTGCAATCAAATTTAATTTGTATATAATCGTCATACTGACTACTTCAAAAGAATATGTTGCAAAGACAGTTGGTTGGTTGACAGTTCACAATAGGCCGAGTAGACATATTCTTACTGAATATCAACTATGTCGAGCGTGTTGTTGCCGGTGCCCCAGTATATTTTGCTGAAGTAATTGACCAATTTGCCGCGGAAATACTGGAGTTGGTCGGTAACGCCACATGTGACAACAGAAAGTCAAAAATTTGTTCACGTCATTTGCAAAACGAGCAAGAATTGAACAAGCTCATGTCGGGAGTCTCCGTCGCCAGAGTGATGTATTGCCTTGGATCATAAGTGTGTTGACGACATTCATGGCGGTGATTATCTGTTTCCTGGCGTTCTCTGTCTCAGGAACATCGGAGTTTTTCCCAATTAAGTAAATTTACTATATGACATGCTCTAATTTATTTTTGACTATTTGAAACAACATGTTCAGTACGTGTATTTCTGTACAATTTACATCACTGTTTATGATAATGTTTAGGAGTATCATTCAAGAAGTCCCAGCTTAATGTTATCCAGACCGCGATTTCTTTGATATAGTATTTTATACCAAATGTATTATAATTTCAATGTGTGTTTTTTGCTGAGTGGACTTTTCGCATTCGTCATGTCAATTTTAACGTTATTTGCAGATCGCCATGCTGGAACTACCGTTCATGTTACGAATATATAAGTATATTATTAGTATGTATTCGTAGTAAATTGCATAGTTGAATTGCTATATAAACACGATTGTTTTAATTTGTATTAAATAATATGCGGATCGATGAGAATTCGGAATTAGACTTAGAATGTATTTTTACGAAAAATTGAAACAGTCATGTTTTAACACAAAAACTCGTAGTATTTAATCTCATGATTGTATTCAGTTGGCATGGCTACTAAGGTGACAGGTCAGTAAGGTTTATCTATAACTTGTAAGATAGTGTCACAAAACCTTATCGACACCCATATATAGTTTGTATGAGGCTTCACCTGCATGTGCAGTCTTGTATATAGTCACTTGTTTGTTGGTGTTTTTCAATAAAATATTATTTGAGTGTATAAATGACGAAAGCAGGATCACCATAAAAACCCGGTAGACAAACAAGATTATTTCGATCATTGTAGTGCTCTCTTGCTACACTGACGCCGATTGTTACTGGAATGGAGTTAAATAACGTTCCACCAAACTGTTGGAGTAAGATTTTCAAAAACAAATATTTGTCTCAATAGTTTATTAGAAAACGATATTTCGAGATATTTTTTATGATGGCACTGCATGACAGCTTCGAAAGTGCACTAACGATCGCGTAGTTTTTAAGGTCCATAATTCAAGAGACAGTTACAGATTAGACATAAGTGACGAACATTGAGGATAGTTTAGCATTCTCATGTATATTGCAAAAAACAAAAGCTGGCAAAAAATTGATCAAAATACATCCAATTTCTACGTTGTTACAATGAAAGTAACACAATTATAAAATTCTTTTCGAAGCTAGAGAAACAATGTTGACAGAAAAATGATCAGTAAAAAAATTAGTATTGAAGACGTTAATTATATTATTTGCGCTGGATTCTTAGTGACTGCAAAACTCATATTTGCTCCAAACATTTTATATGCTCTAACTTCTTTGTTTTTTGGAATAGAAAAAGTGTTCAATAAGTTAATTAATTAATGTGTTTGAAGTAGCAAACAATGTATTATCTTTAGAGCATCAATTGCAATTAATTGCTTTGAAATCTAAATTTCCGGATATCAACCTTTCCATTATGAACCATTATTTCTGTGTTCCCCTGTTTCAAACGATTTTTTTCCAAGGGCAAGTTACGTTCCACCCGTGCTAGTATACAGTTCACAGTAAGTGGAGAGACTCAACTGTGTCGAGTGTGTTATGTCGGTGCCATTCTATATATGGCTGCAGTAATCTACTGTGGAAATACTGTAGTTGGTTGGTAATGTCGCCTTTAACAGGAAGTTTATAATTCTTTCTGGCATTTGCAATTGGACATCCGAAAAGCGGAGTCGAGCGAGAGGTTGAGTGAAATTAGTATTAGGTCAAGATCTATCATTCTGAAGTATGCAAACAACAGAAAAAAATACAGTTTTGAATATCAACAAAATCGCTGCTTAAGCGACGATCGAATTAGAATCTGTTTGCAAGTTGTAATCGATACGTTCTGTTAAAGATATGGGACTTTGCTTTCGAAGTTATTACCGAAGATGTACGACTAAATACAAATCGGAAAAAGGCAAAAAAGAAAACAAAAAAACAGCAGCAACAACAATTGGTTATATGAAATTCGTTAGTATTCATGTAAGTCTACTAACATTAAAACCCACACCTGCTCAACGATTGTTATCTCAAAGCTCTTTTTTTTTTCTCCCGGGTCAATGAATCAAATTACTAGTTACGTTATTTTAAAATGATTTTTATTTGATTTCACGTGATAGTTGGTTTAGCATTTTCATATAGCATTACGAACAGGAGGTCCACGGCATGGGTCAGGGTTTGCCCCAGAACACTCCTTTTGATTAAATCGCCTTATTTATTTGACATGCATTGGCTATACATTCCATCATATCACGTGATAAAAACCAGTGTCCCCATTTTTTAGCTCTTCTGATTTTGTTCGTGTTGCCAATAACATAGTTGTTTTGCAGAACAACTGGAGTGAGGTTGTGTTGCATTTCTACGTTATTGTACCACTGCCCGCTGACAAATCTGTCTTTGGATAGATAGTTCAGTTCGATTGGGTCTTCACGAATTGCGATGTTCGATAACATTACTTGTTCCGAACCTTTGCCACCAATATTTTCTAGTCCGTCTTCAAACGTGCTCATACGGTTTCCTAGTCTCATGGTCAATGTATTCCACACTCTTTGTGTCGCTCTTGTCGCGTTTAGAAACAAGAAACAAGCGCAGAAACCATCCCCTTTAGCGTAATTTGCGACATTAACGTGCATATCTGATGGATGTATCAGTTTACGGAAAAAACGAAGAGGGTTTCCAAACCACACAGCATCGGATTCAGTCATTAATACACTAATATTACTCGCCAACAACTTATTAATTATCCTTACACGGAACAGTCCAAACTGATAATAATTGACACGCCCATATGACATAGAATCTTTTGTTCCGAATTCTATAAGCAAGACATTCAGGTGAGGTCGCCAACTAAGCAATCCATCGTAC